AAAACAGATGACCAGAAATCTCATTTTTCATCACCGTCCTTTGGAAATCAAACTGCTGCTGTTGCTCCTTTTAAATTTGGCCAAATCAACCAATTGAGTTCAGCAATAAAATTGATATTTTGAAGCCACTAAATCCTCCAGAAGAATTAAATGTATTTGAGCTTTGACCAAACTTAATAGGGCCACTGTCATTTTTATTGGAACTAAACTGAAATGCATTAGTAGAAGCACCAAATTTAAATGGTTCAATTTTATTGCTGAACTCAATTGGTTGATTTGGCAAAGTAAATGTACTTCCAAATACAGCAGGCTTTTCACCACCGCCAAATTTAAAAGGAGCAACAGCAGCAGTTTGATTTCCAAAGGACGGTGATGAAAAATGAGATTTCTGGTCATCTGTTTTTTGAGCATTAAACTGAAACGCTGGTTTGTCTCCAAAACCTTGAGTTGTTGAGTTACCAAATGATGGAACAGTCTTAGCAGCAGAAAATTGAAAAGCATTGTTAGTTGTTTCTGTTGGCTTTTCATTGGTTTTAGTACTAGAAGTATTAAATTGAAATACAATTGTATTGTATTACTACCAAAAATCATGGTAGGGTTTGATGAGGCTTAAGGATGAGGTTTAATGTCAGTATTTTGACTGCCAAAAACTAATTTAGGTCCTGGATTATTGGGTGCTGGTACATTAGTATTAATTTGTTCTACTGATGAGTTTCCAAACATTGGAGGAGATCCAAATTGTAGTTTTTAAATTGTATTTATTTTATTTCAAGTAGCTGTTGTATAATCATATATTTTTAAAACCATATTGTAGATTAATACTTTAAAAATTTGTACAAACCCATGAATTACTACATTATTGTTTTTTTAAATTTGTTAATAATTGTGTTAATATTAAGAGTATCAGAATATTGATGTTGGCGTATAATATAATGAAATTTGCTGACTCAACCCATTCCACTACCGTGACAAGACAGTTTGAAAATGGCAGAGTGCAAGTCAAAACAACGATATGTCACAGCGAAAGTTTTGCAAACCACCTGTTAATAAGTAAATCGTAAATCTATGTAACCATTGTGAAAGTTATGTGTTAACAATTATTTTATTGAATTATAATTAAAAGTTAAAATAGAGTATCTGAAAATCAAGTATTGTCTCTTCTATCATTCATTTCTACCACATTTTTTCCGCTCACCATGTTACCAAAGCTTGTACAGAAATAATTACAGAATTTTACTCTTATTTAGAAACTTACTATTATTAAAAATGTATAAAAAAAAATACCCTCTTTAACAGTATTATTCTTTTTTTGTTCTATTTTCTCAATACTTGTGAAAGGTGTAGGTTCTGGCTCATCAAATAATTCATCTAATACACTTTTTATACTAATTCTTTTAAAAACTTGTGTTTTTCCACTTCTATTGAATATTCTACTAGGTGCAACTATTACAAGATCTCCAGCTAAATTAGTTTCTGTATATTTGTCAATTTTAATTGACTTATCATTATCATTGGTTAATAATACTGTTGAACCAAAACAAGTACATCTTTTACAATGTTTTCGGTAAGGAGAATCATCACCCTCTGGGTCTAAAAACAATAAAGAAATTTTTTAAAACAAAAAAACTTTTTATTAACTGAAATATTAAAATAATTTTAGTAAACTAACCAATAGGATATGTTTTTTTTTTGTCTTGATGACTGAAGAAATTTGCTTGAACTATAAGAACTCAAAATTTCATTATTGAGAGTTATAGGTTTTTTATATGAATGATGACTATTAACATCAGTATCACTCTGTCTCTTATTTCTAAAATGAAAACAGAATACATATTAATATTTAATCACGCATAATTATTAATTAGGAACTCAAAAATTGCTCATTATTGCCAAAATCTGCTTCCAAATAAAATACTTATATTTAATAAAATATATCACCAAATCAGTGTTCCCCGGGGATAAGACGAGTAATAAAATAATACCCTTACACAAGATTTAACCATCCTATTACGCATTCCATAAAACGCCCACGTAAAAGATTCTATCACATTAACCAATCAAATACAACAAAAAATATTTCAAGAATCTCACCCAGAGATCGCTAAACCAGTTTTGCGGGCTATAAAAAGGCAATTTTTCCCCAAATTCTGGGCTTCGCTTCTCTTACAGTGGTTCTTTTACTGCGTGATTCTTTCGCGGTTTCTGAATATCCCTCTAGCGGACACTGGGTCGCCTTGCCATTCTATCTCTGCATCTCTACGGCTCTCTGCAACTCTCAACCAAGATACACAAAGTGAATGTGCATGAGTTTATGTTTCATTCTTAGTTACAATTCTATATAAAATCTGCACTATTTTTACTCTCTTTCGTAATTACTGAAAATATTTTACATCTTATTTTCGGTTGAATACTTTTGGTGATATAAATATTCTAACACATATAAAATATTGGTGTTTATTTATTTCTTTTTATCTACATTTATATATATATATATATAAGCATACTAAAAGGTTACATGACTAGATTGCATTGTGTTCTATTACTTATTGAAGCGCCACATCCTGGCTGGACAGAGTACTAGCACAATAATATTATAGTTAATACTCCAACTAATTATAAGCGTACTCTAAAGTGTCTCTCCATTTATCGACTAGCCAGTCTGATCTCTGCCACAGTGCGGGCCATCGGAGTGTAGGACACTAACATAACTTATCGTGCATAAATCTATAGTACAGTCGCATCTAACCTAGGTCGTCCTATAGGTGATTGAAAAGAAGTAGGCTACATATCATAAGGGTCTTTGCATAAAGACAAAGATATTATTTGAGATCTCGCGTTGATATATCCAGCTACGAAATACAAATAAATCAGAGTCGAAATATTATACTAATCAAATAAACAACTAAAAAGTGTCTCTCCACTTATCGACTAGCTTGTCTGATCTCAGCCACAGTGCGGGCAATCGGAGTGTAGGACACTTGTATAATCTATTATTTAAAGAACCGAAATTGACCTCGCATCTACCCTAGATCACTCTTTGGACGACTGAAAAGACGTGGGCCACTTGGAAATAATTTATTGCACAGGACTGTTATGTTATTTGAATTGTTACATCAACTACATCATTCATCTCAAGAGAATATCTGCCTTATCAGGATAGTCAGAGGTAAGTGAAACATTTGTTTATATAATAAGTCTATAATAGATCCTTTACTGAAGAATTTTTAGTAATAAACAATTAGAACAAGATAGGTCATTGAGAATAAACTAAAATATTTTTAAAAAGAAATACGATACTTGTGACTCGCCGGAAATTAGTGTACGCGTTTCTGTGCAGGAGTTAGATAGTGACCCTTCTTTATAATTCCATATTATTCACATATTAGACGTCTTTACACAAGCATATGTACCCCGAGATCCCTTTCTATTTCATTTTATTGTAGTCACTGCCCGGTATCTATAGCCACTTTTACTTTCCATTGCTGTCCATCCTTTTTACACTACGCCCGCTACGATTATTATTTTCTCATTGGTCACCTGTGTTACATTTCTTTCCTTTCCCACCTAACAACATCCCTTTGCTACCACCACTACCATTGTACTTCTTTTTCTTTATTACAGTTGATGGTGTTTCACATTTTTAATATATTTTTTTTTAGAACCAAATACCAACACAAAAATCAAAATTTTACTTTCCAGTAAGCAAGCTTCTGTATAACTTAATAACAAATTTATTATATTATAAGTCAAATTATTACCATAATAGTTAATTTATGGATAAACTAATTTTATGATTTCCTGTACATATTAATATAAAAAGTATTTTCAATGTTTAAAAAAGTAAATTATTATATGCTTACTGTTTTTTATCAAAAATAACATGATTATTCTTTGGTGTCATATATGGTGAATGTGAAATTTCTCTATTTGTTTTATCTATACCATTCAATGGAATAATTCGGTCATTTGACTCAATAGCATTTTTACGGTAATTTACAAAATTATCAAAATCAAACTATTAAAAAAAAATTAATTTTAGTATATTTATGATAAATGTCTTTACTTTATCAAATTTTATTAACATAGAAGTATACCTCTTGGCTAGTTCTGTTTCTTACACCAAAATTTTCTAATGTTTTCATTAATTTACGCTTTTTATCATTAGGATTTTCTCTACTAAATTTTGAAACTCATGTGGAGTAGAATTACTGTTACTAGAATTGTTTCTAAAAAAAGTTATTTGTCAAATTAAAAGTATTTCCTATTAAAAAATTTAATTATGTATCAAATATTATAAGAGGAACTTATAAACAACATAATTTCTTAATATAACATAATCTGAAGCATACGATACTGATAAATTTGAAATATCAGAAGTTGGCGTTGTAGATCTCATTTCTCGAGCTTTTTGAGCTATTCGATAACTAAATCCAGGACTTGTTACTTCAGCTATATTATAATTTGGTCTGCAAAATAAATGATATAAAATTTTTTATCAAATTAATAATTAATTTTTATACCATACACTTACCTAAATGGAGTATTATTTCCATTATTTCTTCGAGAAATAGACAATTTCTGGTTAAAAATATTAAGAGCTCTTGCCTCAGGACTATTGAGATTTAATGTTTTCCCACTAAGTGGATTCGTAGATTTAACTTTATCTGAATCAGACTTGAAATTAAAAAAATTTAAAAATGAAGAAAACATATCAACAGGATAACAACTATTAAAGTCGAAGATTATATTAGGCAGTCTCAAAAAATAATACGCGGAATAGAAAATGACGATTAATAACACGTAAGGCCTTGTTTATAGCATGGACAAATAAGTAAACAACTAAAAAGAAAAGATAAATCAAGTTAAAATTATTAAATTGAATACTCCGACGAACGGCAATGATACAAATCAACATGTGGGTAACCAGGAGCAACTAACCCGCCGAATACTAAAATCCTGCCAGGTGTGCATTATATATATATATATATATAAACATTAATTAATTTGTGTAAAACTTTTTTATCTACGTTGGGGCACTACCGACGTACGACATTAGTAAAACTCCAAAAGCAGTTTACCAGAAAATTATTCCCACTTGTAAATTAAATAATAATAATGGAAAAATAATATTATGACAACAAAATTACTTATGCGTTTTCACAATTATACTTCATTATAATCTACTTATTATTATTCAAAACAACAGGTAGACGAAAGAAAATTTAATAATCATATATACAATCTTTAAATTACGTGTTTTTAATAAAAACTACCTAACTAACATAAAATTTAAGCAAATTCACATGCAAAAAGCAAAATCCATATCTTACTAAAAACTATGTACGTGGAAATAAAAAAAGCAAAAAGGCTCATAAATCAGTCAAAAATAAAAAGATTTCAACAAAATTTTCAAAGTGTTTTTTAAATATCTCTAAACAGATTTGATCAAATTTTTTAGTTTTAAATCGAAAAACGCTAACGACAATTTGCATTATTGACAAATATTTTTAAACATTCACGGTATGTTATATCATATACCAAGGCTGCCAAAAAAGTCCAAGATGATCTTGGAAATTTTGGCTAAACAAAACCCAGGGCTGAACACGGCGATCTGGAAAGTCCACCATGAGACAAAGTTTGGCCCGAAAGGACAAACTTTGTTCCTAAGTGTGGACGAAAAGAGCATAGCCAAACTGGAGGAACTGAAGCGAAGTTTATATTTTAGAATGGTCAGAGTTTGCTTCACAGACTGTTGCCTAGAAGGATGTGAAAAAATCTACTTCTCAAAAATCTGGGAAGAGGAAGGCTGAAGAATCACCAGTGCCACTCGGAAAAGGAGGTAAGGCACAGGTAAGAAACAAACAGACGCACTTCACTCCTGCCTCGAAAGGGAAGGAAGGAAGTGTGTTACGCAAGGGGAAGGGACCTAGGAAACCGCCACCCTTAATAACGGCTTCATAACGGAAAATGTGGAGAGGGAACCTAAGGAACGGTCACCACCTGGTGACGGCGGGGGGACACCACCCACAGGGAGGTGTAAGAACATTTATTACTGTGTTCTTACAACTTATATTACACACGTTTTATTTCTATTTATTTAATTCGTAATACATATTAATTAGCATAGAGGGAGATGCTGATGTAACAATTCTACTCGTCTGTAACCCGGAGCTACTGAAGTCAAACTAACAAAGGGTAGTTGTGTTTGAGTGGCCGTTATAGGCATAGTTTTCAATATTATTACTTTAGTCTTATTTATATTATTTATAACTTAACTTGTTTTATTCAACGACCCGTCTATCGCCAATTGTCATCATAGCCAACCAACTCCGTCTCACTTGGATATACCTACTAACCAACTGTACTAGGATTCAGGTCAGACGTATTGTACATTACATATAACTTATATTTACTAAACATCTAAAATATAACTTTACTTTGTCGTTGACATAAAACAATAGTCTAATTTTATTTAATAATCTATCCCCTGTAACTAAGGTACACGATTGCCTGTGTCTCTTTCAGGCAATTAAAACTCATTTAAAGAGATAGGGACGATATTTGGGCAGACGTCGGGTAGCTTCCGATTCTTGGTTTTGACCAAGATTCTCAACTATTAAACATCTATACTTATCCAAACTATGCCACGTCCACACTGTGCTCCTGTTTTTTTTTAATAGTATGTGCCTTTGTCTTAGAAATCATTATTAATACAAATAAAATACAAATACTCAATTTTTGTACAATTTTCAGACTATCCTTTAAAATAAAGATAATATTTAAAATATAGTGTTGTTCTTAAATAAAAATTATCTTTTAAAAAATATCAAGAATTAATACTTTACTAACTACTTTACACGATTAATACCGTGTATTGGTATTAAAAATAATTTGCTAGTCACTAATATTCAGTGACACATAAAGAAAAAAGAAAAAATGACTCAATAAAATTAATAATTTTCAGCTACATTTGATAGATAACTAAGGTTGTATAACTAGATCTCCTATCGTCAACAGGATCCCAAGGGATCTAAGCGATCGTTTATTTTCGTACTTTCATATAATATATGAAACATATAATGTATTTTTCTTTTTATCAAACACTAATTAATTTTTTAATGCATTTGCTATAATTTTTAAGGTTGTCACCTTAATTTTTTTTTTTTGAATAGCAATAAAAAAATTTAACTAGCTAATAAAAAATGATCTAATTTAAAAAATAAATAACGATATCAACTTTTCAACCAGCATAATAGAGCTATTAATATTTATTTTAATTTTAAGTAATGGTGTTTGATAATATATCGTTTTATTTTTTACTAATTACACTTGTATGAATTTAAAATTAAAATTTATTTTGAAAAACTTAATATTTTTTATGTTAAATACACTTATGAGGTAATTTTAGAATAAGAGATCTTCTAATTGATTAGTAGTTTGTCGTTGTACCTAAATATGAATTTAATATCTTCAACCGTAAATTTTTTTTTTATTTCCTGAAAAATTTATTTGAATTTAAAACATTCCTGTGTAGTACTTTTATGATTGTATTATTTTAGTAATCATGTATTAAAATTTCTTTCTAATGTGGACTTACTTCCCTTGTTGTTTTTTCCCAAACTTTTTTCATCAAATTCGAATATACACTCACATGTTTAAAATATTTTATAAAAGCCATTCCAGAACAAAGTTGAAAAACATTCAAATTTTCATTGATTGCTACTTCAACTCGATTGAATATTTTAGTCATTAATTCTTCATCAATATTTGAATTAATTATACGGGCTATCCAAAGAGCGCTTTTAAAATCGACCATAGCTGTATTATCTAAAAAGTGAATAGTAACAATTTAATTCCTTTGTTTACTGTTTAGAGTTATTTAAATCGATAAAATTTTTTTAATTTTTCGAAAATAAAGTAATTTTATTTAAAATGTATTAAATAATTTTGATTGTGCATAAAAAAATTTAAATAACCTCAATAGATGCAATTTTCACGCGATATCTTCATAACGAAAGAAGTTTCACTTTATCCGTGCGTATTCGTAACATGCACTGGTACTAAATTACAATATAAAATATACTTTACAGCCGACCGTGACTCTCGATAATCTGTTTTTTTTCGGAGCCTCTATAAAGAAGTTTCACTTCAATAACAAACTTTTTGGGAAGTTTTTAAAAATTGTTTGTTTTAAAAATTTAAAAACTGAATGTTATTGTTATAATTTTATGTAAACAATTAAGTAAGACCAAAGTTTTCTAATATATATTTTTTGGGATTATTAGAATTGTGTGATTTCTGGTTATATACTAAATATTTGATGATGTAATCGTAGTACATTGCTTTAAATACTTTAATATCTGATTGCATAAACTAGTGGTTACCAATGTATTATTAGTTATCCGATTTCAGCTCATAAAAAATTTAAAGATCGGTTTGTCAAATTATTATAATTATCAAATGATGACTTAATTGGTATTTTGATTTTCTATTATGGTTTATTAAATTTTATTTTGTCAATATCATTGTAAAAAAACATTGACTGAATATCTAGGTCCCAGGATGACCTTTAGTATCCTACATGAACGTTTACTTAGTTAAATATAAAAGATGGGTCGATTGTGTTTTCACTAAAAGGTGAACAATGAGAAGACAATCCACTAAATGTTGATTATAGACAGGATTTTATTATATATACTGATACAGTCGCATTGCACTTCGAGCTTTACCGCTAGATGGTGACCGCGACACAGCTACCTCTCCTCGTCCGACAGGTCGCGCGACGTCGAGTGACCGCGGGTGACGCGAACCGATCCGGCGATATACTTGTACTTTACTTCCTCGCGTATAACTATCGTACACTTTTTATGTACTTCCTCACGTATATTAGTTTAAAATATATTTTGACTAATATTTAATCGTGTACTCTCGTGCTTTTCTTAACCTATGCTCTTTCATTACAAAGGGTTCCGTGAAATCTACACGAACCCAGGAGAAAATACGACATTCAAATACTCGTAATGTGGGTAAATCGGATGTTAGCGGTCGTGAAGTTACTCCTATCAAATTAATGTAAATGACACATTTACTTATTATTGATCGATTAAGCGTATTTATCGACAAGGTTTGTGGACCGTTGTGATCACTGCATTTATGCCAATGATGAATAATTAATTTTGACAAATATGATATTTTGGCCTATAAAATTCAGTGCTTTTGGCTTGTGGGTAATTCAGCATTAAATAATCGACTACCGACATATATTAAACTACGATCGTCGATAAACGGATGAGAAGACTGGCAATTGTTTTTCTTGATACGGATAAATCATGTGACCGTTCATAATGTAATTTACTAAATTTATAGCACTGCGAACACTGGACGATAACAAGAGTCACATTGTTCAGTTCAAAACGTAATAATTAATCGCTTTCAGTAGGTTGTTGCCGGCACTAGTTAATAAAGCGATAAATGTATGCGATGACTTGTATCACAGACTATATGACAATCATAGAGCTTGTTTTTTTTTCTATTGTTCTCGGTCAAGTGAACTATCTGTTTTCATATAGTCTGTGCTTGTAACATATGCACATACGATGAAAACCGCCTATATCATTGTATATTTACCAGCTAGACGATTTCGATGCTGTTAATAATTTTTTGATTTATGAAGTGAAACTTCTTTATAGAGGAAAAAAGAAAAACAGATTATCCAGCATCACGGTTTTTTTTATGCTCAATTTTATAAAAAAATTTTTATCTAATTTTTTAAAAAATTTTAAAGAACCACTATAGATGTAATTTTTAGGCGATATCTTCATAACGAAAGAAGTTTCACTTCATCCGTGCGTATGTTACAGAGACTAAACGCGACTTGTCGAAAGGTGCCTTCAACGTCATAATCCACGCAAGTTTATAGTTGTCACCTGAAACTGGTATTCCGCTTATTGCCTCTGATGCACTGTCTTTTAAACATCCAGCTAAATAATAAAACTTTTCTATGTCCGTAACATTAGGGCGCTGTTCTACAGTGGTGATAAAACGAAGGATGACTTTAAAAAAAGATAGAAAGATCTATTTAAAAATATCTCCATGAATATTTATTCTGCAACTATTATTTAATTATAGGTAGTGTGATGGTGTCACGTTACCATTATTGTGAGAATTTATTATAATAAAGTACAAACAGCATATCCGCTTCCTAAGACTGATGAATTAACAATTAACATTTATTTCTAAATTGGCAATAGTCCAAATTATTATAAAAACCCAAGAGACCTGGTCGTCTTGGTCATTCGACTCCAGAGCCTTGTGTCATTCATTAGTCTCAGTGCTCTGTTGTCACTGTCCGGCTTACTGCTTAAATTAAAGTCTGTGTTTTTTCATTTTTAACCTACTTACTCTCGTCCCCGTTATTTCAGAGTACTTGTATCTTGCACTTCGTCTGCACCTCATACCTAGATGTTACCCTTATTCCCTTCCTATAACAACGGCTTTTTGACACCCATAACTAACCCGGAGTTTCAGCCGAGTACGGTAACTGCTGTATGATTACACACACGTGAATACCTAGTTAGCAGACATAACATCAGCATCATACATACATCGTAGTCCAATTTACTCTTATTTGTGTTACGACAGTTGTTTATTATTTATTTATTGGTATTATTTGCGTCGTTTAATTCAAAAGTAATGAGTAAAATTTTGACTTTAAAAAACACAAGCCTTGATGAGGTGATTATACTGCAAGAACGCATTTAAGCCAAGGCTTCACGTAAGTAGTAACAATGAATAAGCAAACATCTAGCAACGCGGTTTTATCCTGGCTAGTAATATTTAGTTGAGAACTAAGTAGTGATATTTTCAAAGAATATATAGCTCTTGCCATCCATATCGCTTGGTGCATTGCTCCTGGTGGCCTAATTTTAAACTTTTTCTCTGAATCTCCTCCTAAAAATATTATTGAAAGTTCTATCAGCTCTCGATAGTCATCTCTGACAATTTTTTTTGTTAATTCAGCATGGTAAAATTCAAGTAGAGCTTCAATTTTTGTTGTGCTTATATAAGTTTCTACGAATTCTCTATAAAATTTTATCTCAGTGGGGTTGACATTTTTCCAATTTTCTTTAAATTTTTTGAATAGTGGAATATCGGGACTATTAGTCATGTGACTGATTTTTAATTCAAAAACGCTTTTTAGTGCCAGCTCATAAATATGATGGCGACAAGCAAAAATAAGCAACTCTCTATCAAGTCTTTGCTCTAATAAGGAACATGCGCCATTAATTCGTCCTGTATTGGAAGCTGTTGTATCACAGCATAAAATTAGCACTTTATCTTCAAGATTCCAAATAGCTCGTGCTTGTTCTTTACCAGTGGAGTTTTCTAATTTTGGCACAGAAATCAGTTGTATTAATAATATTTCATATAAAAATTGTTCAAATTTTAATTTGAATGAGTAATGAGTAAAATTTTCATTGGGGCGATCGTTTTATTGTTTTAACATGATTAATATTTATTTTTACAAAATATATGAGTAATATTGGTTAATTTCGTTTATCATCTGGTATGTTACTACAAAATTTCTTATGAAGTACGGTAATAATATTATTGTATTATCTACATATAGAGTAAAATTATTTAAATAAAATTACTTTTTGTTTAGAAAATTAAAATTCGAACAATTTTTATATGAAATATTACTTCTTATTATAAACGATTCGTCAGATATGATTCAATATTCGTAAATATCCCAATTTCGACAGTTTTGCAAAATAATACTTATTTTTCAATTTTTCTAGAAAACTAGTGGTTAAGTTTAGAAGAAAAATTATAGAAACTTAAGTTATACACAACATTTATATCTACAATTTATTTCCTATATTTTTTTTTGTGAGAGCACTAATTAACGAGTAAATGGCATATAACTGAAAAACTTCCCTTTTTTAACTAATTTTCAACCCCAAGTCGGCACGGGTTAAACTTGTTTGATCGACCTGAAATTTTTTTGTGTTCTTTTTCATATGTATACAAATAAATTTGAGGGGTATGCACTAAGCATTTCCGAAACTTCAAAATTCTGGGACACCCTAATATACATATTAAAAAGCCAGATAAATTTATTGGTATAGTTTACTTGGTATAGCTCATGGATTTGTAGAACAAAAAAAAATAAATAAAAAATTTCAATAAAAATTAATTTATACCCAGTGATTTTGTGGGTTCGAAAGATAAGAGTAGACCAGAGATAGAAAGCCCACCAAGGACCGAATAACAGTAAATAAACATTTCTGCTGCGTATCTGATTCATACCCGCGCCTATTGGAAGGTTAAATTAAATAGATAAATCGAAAACAGATAGTTTAAATAATAAAATACTACTTATAAATGCGTAGGAATGTAATTTTGCCGTGCACAGTGGTCTGAAAGCGAATTTTAGGCGCTCATAAGTCCCTTTTTAAAATATCCTCACAATANACCGAATAACAGTAAATAAACATTTCTGCTGCGTATCTGATTCATACCCGCGCCTATTGGAAGGTTAAATTAAATAGATAAATCGAAAACAGATAGTTTAAATAATAAAATACTACTTATAAATGCGTAGGAATGTAATTTTGCCGTGCACAGTTTGTGGAACATTTTCAAAAGTTAAGTTGAAAAAGTTAATTTTTTGTGAAAAAGTTATTATTTTNTTAAAATAATTATGAAAATTCAATTTTAGTATATTGCTTAGACAAAATATAAAATTTCAAGGTCACATGTTAATCCGGTCGTTAACTATAGAAGTTTGAAGTATAGATATGATTATATTACGGTTATTTTAACAAAAAAACCCAGCACAGGGGGGTCGNTAGTAAAAAAAATTGAAAAAATTTCGAAAATTAGCGATTTTTAAATTTGTAATTTTTTTGGAGGTTTCCCCCATTTACGGGGAACGAGGGAAATTTTTTCAATTTTGAAGGGTAATGTCTTCGACTAGATACGATTTGTGATCTTTTGACGTATCGTTGAAAGAAATCCGTTCTGTGAGAGCTGAGAAAAAGTGGTAACAGACACAAAAAAAAAAACACATCATAGTAAAACCAATACCTTCTCAGCTTCGCATCGAAGCTAAAAAGGTCTTTCGTTGTCAACTTTGTTAACAAATTAAAAATTTTGTTATCGAATTTTTTTTTAACGCCTTTAAACTTTATTTTTAATAAAATAAAAAAAAAATGTTTTGGCAAATTAATGATAGTTCTACTAAAATAGAGTATGTTTTTAGTAGTTTTAGAAATTAAAATGTATAATACTAAGAATTACACTATTTTACCTAAGTAACGATTCATAGATATTGTAGAGCAAGTATTCTAGATTTTAAAAATATAATTTTTTTTGGTGGCGGACAAAAATAATTGTGCATAAGGCTAATAAGATTATAACAATTCGTACATTTTTATTTGCAATTAGCTTTCATTTATTTCGATTTCTGATATTGAATTGTTAAAGTTATTTATTTCATTTTCCAATGAAAATGAAATAAATGAAGGGCCACATCCCTCCACAACCCACCTCTAATAGGCAAGAGTGTAAGGAAGGAGTACCCTAGCTTTTCCATTATCACTCTACCATAAAGTATTACTTTAATAGTCAATATTTTCAATTAATATTAATAAAGAATTTTTTTTTTAAATGTTTTACATACCATTATTTATTTCAATACGTACGCCATTTATATACTCTGGGCTTTCTGGTTCGAACTAAAATAGTTACTTTACATTAGTTATTACACTAGACGATTTAAAAATTATTTTTAATAATTATATGTATTTTACTTACTTTAAATTTTGATGATTTACTATCTTTTAATTTAAATGCATTGTTCAACTGCTGTTTTGTAAATGTACATCTAATTTCCTAAAAAAAAATATGATGCTCAATAATATAATTTATATCAACTATTTGTTTAGAAATTTCGTGATGTATAATTGAATGTTTTATAATGTTCAACCAACCAAAAATGTTGTTTTTTTCCAAGCTTGTTTCATGAAATTGACTATAATTTTAATTTGAACACGTTTGTTCAAATATTTTCTTAAACCAGTTTGTATTTGAAATGCCGTAATATATTCATCTGAATACACATTGCAGTTACTGAAAATGTTTTTAATATCTTCAAAAGAAAATTTATAAGAAAAATGGCGTGCAATATGTAAAGCTCCAACTAAATTTATTGCTGCTAACCCATCTAAAAAATATTATTTTATTATTAAGTACAATTTTGGCTGTAATTAATTACAACTAATTCTTCAATATTATACAATTATGTAACGATTTAAATTTTTCACATAGTTGAGTTTTTCTTAGGAATCTAATCATTTTTTTATTTTATTCCGAGTCTGCTCCTATCGTCGTACTTGAATGGACAATTTTTTAGTCTTGCGTTCTTCCGTGTATCTTCGGCTTTCCGTGAGTATATGTTTCACTCACTGTGATTTTTACTCCACATATTTCGCATACAGGATGATATTTTTTATTTTTATTTTTATTAAAATTAATTAATTTTATTCAATAAGATAAGTTAATATTTTTCATGTTATATATTAGTAACATTTTTTTTTTTTTGAGGTTAAACTACGCCATGTAATCATTTTAGTTAATAAATAGTACAACGAATATACTGTTTGAAAAAATTAAGATTGCTATGACAGATATATGTGTTCAAATGTTTTAAACTTTAATAATTAATTCATTTTTAGTTAATAATTAATAAATATTAATATCATTAATAATACTAATAAATCAAATTATATTCGAATAAACTTAAATTTAATGAACATAAAATCTAAATATTAAAGGTAAATGAAATCATGATATAACTCGATTCTACTTGATATCGATAATTTCCTTAATTGGTTGTAAGATATACTTTGTCATTGATTAATTAATTATTTTTTTATCTTTAAAATGGAGATGTACTATACCTTCATTGAATATTACGATAATTTTACTCCAATCGTCTACACATGAAATATCAACCTGTATAAATAAAAAATATTAATGTGAATTTTATAAATTATCGAATGTGATATGCGGACAGGTGATGTTTGCTTAGATTATGTGGGAGATCGTGTCAAGTGGAAGTTTAGGATAAGGGTGACCGACCCCAAGTAATTGGGATAAAGGCGAGGTAAAAGAATAAGAAGAAGATGTAATACCTAATAATCATAACATTAACTTATATTCTATTGCTGTTTTCATTTTATTTTGAAAACAGCTTTAATGATCATTAGTCGATAATAAATTTTACTAAATTATGGTTAGTGTTATTTTTTATGTTTTATAAAATTTGTAGAATTTTATGAAGTTATATGTGTTCATAAAAGATTATATTCCTTATTAATTGTTTATTTAAGATGTGTTTATTTTCCTCCTAACTATCGTGGGGGAACAAAAAGTAATTAGGTGGGTCATATTATATTATTCGGGTATTTGAATTGACTAGCTAAAACTGTTCAAAATGTTGGTATTATTTTAGTAAAAATTGAAAGTAATGATTAAAAAAATTATTAGGTAACTGTAAAATTAAGTAGAATATGGAGGGAAATCGGGCATTTAAAAAATATAATGTAAAAGTTGTAACGAATTTTACGTAAGATAAACAAAAAGAAATATAGGTATCAGGTTTAAAAAGTACTTAATAAACGTTAAAAATCAGAAAGTTGATAATTTTCCTGTCATTGAACTTATATTGACATATTACATTAAAACCATAACACTAATTAAAAACGTACATAATTACAAAGAACTTAGTATAAGGAATAGAAATGTTTAAAAATAAGAGAATATAATTAATTGGTATCTTGACCTCTGAGAAATTCATTATTTAACTTATGTACTACATAATATGTAGACTGAAAAAATGTGATGATATTTCTTAGTTATAGTTATTTTGTATAAGGTTAATAGGGATATATAAGGATTTTTTTTCGATCAGGGTGTCAGTATATATTTAGCATTGATAATGATAACATTGTCCACAAAATACGTATCTGCGATTTTAGTGGTTTTTTGAGTTCAATATTTTTAATATAACTTTAATTTTAAATAATATTAGCCACAAATTATCAATTTTATTATATCAACATTAATTTACAGATGTATTAAATATCTTAGATGGTATCTCTGTTGATAAAACACATAAAACTCACTTTTATATTTATATAATTGTAATTACGTTAAATATTGTATTAAATTATATTCATATAAATAAATTCCCATATTAATTTTATATATTATTATAACTAAAAATATATATATATATTTTTTAATCTTATTATTTGTTTATCTTAACGCCATTGTTACATTAATATCAAGTGCCCCTTACCAATATTTTAAAATAGCTATCTTCAAATTTTAAAATAATTTTAGTAAAAAAAATCATATTTTTTGTAATTCCGAAAAATAACATAAAACACATTTTAAATATAGATCTTTAGTGTCAAAATTGATTAAAAAAAAAAGTATAAAATGTTATGTAGTTATATGTGTTGTCAGTTACACCTTCTAGCATCTAATAGATGCAACAATAGCGATGTTGGTGTAACCATATTAATATAAAAATCCTTGATAGCGCATTCAATAGATGTATATCCAACAAAATTTTTAATTATATCTGTAATATTAATATATAGGAGAGACTGGGTCAAATTGTTTATTTAAAGTCAAAAAAAAAAACAAGTGTTGAAGAATTAACTAGGAATGAATTAAAAAGATTATAAAATATATTTAAAATTATTCAGTAAAAACAATTAATAACACTTTTAATCATTTTATTCTAAGGAAATTTAAAATTTGATGCTCAGTCACCATTCAAATTAAAATCAAATTATAGGTTTATAATTTTGAAGAAACGTAATCATGCATTACCGATAAAACATTTACGATTGATAAACCATAAACAACACATATACTTATTATTACACAATTTACTATTGACATTTTTGTCAAACTCAACAGAAACGTAACTTTAAAATATAATTACAGAGTATAGATTTTACAATTAATTTACAAATGCTTTGAAATAAATAAAATACTTAGGTATTTATTAAATATTTAGATATCTGTTTTTCTTAGCTATTAATAGTCTCAATTTGAAAAAATAAAATATAGTATTGCATTATTTTTTGATGTCACCAACTGTTACATTAATCAAAAAGTTTTAAGTTTCTTTTTATATAGATTAACAAATGTAATTCAGAATACTTAAATAATTCTAATTTATCAACTTTTTTTATTTTTATTAAATTTAGAGTAAAATAGTTTGTCATATATATTTTTTAATAAAATTTTCGATGTAGGTTTGAAAATTTTGATTTGAGAGGGACATTTTTCTTAAAATTGAAGAATTCCTTCAATAAAATAGTTAACAAAATTATTTGAAATTATATTCTCTCTAAATAAATTTCTGTTTGTGTCGCTGGGATAGTTCTTGGTACATATTTATCATTAAGCACTTGGTTTAAAGGATTGACTCAGATACATGTCTCCAATATTCATAACAATAAAAATTATTTTAATTGTTATATTTTCCTATGCTTTTCTCATAATATTGGTCAGTACTTGACTACTTGTGGATGTCAAAATATTTCAAACCATAATGCAATTATAATAATTTATCAAAGGGTTCCGTGAAAATTAAGTTTAGCAATAAAATTTGAAATATATTATAAATATTTAGGCCTGTACTGACGGCCAACATAAATAGTACAGGGTTCATCCCAAAAGTAATGAGCCTCAACTTTTTCTGACGTGACTAAACAATCCAGCGCGCTTTGACCGGTCAGGAAGAGTGGAGGGAACTCTGACGAAATACTGCAGACCGACCTCATTTCACTCTGAGCTCTGGAAGGGACAGGACGTCAGTTCCCCCGAAGGAAGTTTCTAAGCGTCGTCATGGAAAAATCGATTGAACAACGTTATGCAATCAAGTTTTGTTTTCGGCTGGGGAAAACCGCTACTGAGATAATCTCAATGCTTCAGACGGCTTTCCCGGATAATTGTCTGTCCAGTTCTCAAATTAAGAAGTGGCACAAGGCGTTCAAGGAGGGCCAAGAGGACGTCGCTGACGAACCAAGGTCAGGGCGCCCGTCAACTTCGCGGACAGACGCCAATGTGAAACGTGTGCGCGATTGCTTGAACACCAACCAGGACAGACTGTGAATGCAGTGTTTTACAAGGCTGTGTTGAAGAGATTGAGGCTTAGGACCCACCGCCTGCGGAGGGAGAGGAAGTGGCCGATTCGGGAAGACTGGAGGCTCCATCACGACAATGCGCCCTCTCACATCGCGTTCATCGTGAACGAATTCCTGGCCAAAAAGCACATCACCGTGGTTCCTCAGCCTCCCTACAGTCCCGATCTGTCTCCCCCGGACTTCTTTTTATTTCCAAAAATGAAAACAGCCCTGAAAGGACATCCCTGACAGCAGTGGTGTAGTCCTAAAAATGTTTATGGGTATACGCCTATATTATGAATAGATAATAACGTGGGGGGCTTCGCCCCCCCCCATGCAATTTATATTTTCTACATACAATATTTCACAATTATTTTGTTGAACTTTTAATTTTATACATTATCAACAGTGATATAGTCGTAATTTGATCAATAGATAAGTTAAAAACCTAAATGAGGAACGTGGGGAATTTCACCCCCACACTACTTTTCAAAGGCCTTAACTATAACATAGTTTTAGGGGACGGAATACAAATATTGTGATGTTTTAACTGTGTTAAAAATATGTATTTTCTAATTATTACATAATGCAACTAAAACTCCTAACCCTCTCAGATACAGCCTTGCTCCTTCCAACTTTCAACTATTACTCGAATATTTTTACTGACACTTCTAAGTTCTTACATAAACTAAATTTCATAGTCATATAATCGATAAGTGTATTATTAGATACTGTTATATTTTTTGTAAATAAACAATAAACTTTATGCAGTAATAAAATAATCTTACAATCATTGTTTTCAAATCGTTAAAACATAAATGAAATAAACGTGAATGGGTACATGTTAGCACTATCTTAATTCATTATAGGTAATATATTAAATACTAGATTGGTTGGTAAACGGTTTATTACGGAAAAATACAAATTACCAATTTCAACTTAGTATGTGCTATATCGTTAATTTCTGGTCGATGTTTTAAATTTTGTCAAATGTCAATAAAATTTTCGTGAAATTATAAACATTATCCTATTTATTTTATTGATATTTATTAATACACTTTGACAGTGTTTTGTTTTACATTTATATTCTATTTTTAAAATGATAGTAGTCTCGAGCCATATTTGTGTGTTTATAACTTCAGATATATGTTTATATGTGGTATGACTGTAGAGATTAAATAAACTGATAATAGTTATTCAAAATTTGTGTTTTATGACAAACATACCTATATTCGATACCCACGTATTACTTTTTATTTTATTCTTTAGTCTATACTCTAACTATTTTATAAATACGTATATGCACTAATAAGAAAACAGTGGGTATACGCCGTATACCCGCGTATAACTCATGATTTTATAAGTATACGCATTAACAGAAAAACAAAGAAGTGGGTATACGCCGTATACCCGCGTATACGCTCCACGACACCTCTGCCTGACAGTCTATCGAAGACATCCAAGCAGCCGTGACGAAGATCCTGATAGAAGTTACGGAAGACGCCTACCGGGGAGCCTTCGAGGGATGGAAAAACCGCCTCCAGCGGTGTATTGACACGGGAGGAGAGTATTTTGAAGAATTTTGACGGCTTGTAGCGTTATAATCAATAAAAGTGTGATTCTGAACAAAGGCTCATTACTTTTGGGATGAACCCTGTACATCATATATTCAAGTCGAATTATAAAAACGGTCCCTCATAATTTATATTTAAAGTTTTTAATTTGCAACTAATGATTTTTATTAAGTTAAAATTGTTGTATAGTTACTAGTATAATAAATTTTACTAATTTGTGTTATTACCATTATCAGTATTAATACGGACGTTACTAATGTACTCTAAACTTTGTAAATCGTACTAAAACAATTTTTTTGTTAAATGTAACTACGATGCAGATAAAAAAAAAAAGTTAGCCTAGTACAAAAACTTAAATATTGCACTATTTTTTGCGAGTGTTCCGATTTAAATATCATAAAACGTTAAACTATATATTTTTCAATTTTCCTAAGAAAATTTTTGAAAGCGTATTCCATTTCATTCTTTGTTATGAAATCTTTAATAGTTTAACAATGATTAAGAACACTCGCGTAAAAAAATAAATATAGTTAAAAAAAAACTGAAAAACACGCTTTTAAAGCATATCGAAATAAAAAGTTAAAAATAATTTTAAAAATGAGCTTAAAACGATAATGAATGAAAAATACTAGTATTATTTTGAAAAAATGGTTGGACGCTCAATGTACGAAAAATATGGCACAAAGCGCTCACGCTTTTTTCAAAATAATAATAGTATTTTTCATTCATTATCGTTTTAAGCTCATTTTTAAAATTATTTTTAACTTTTTAGTTCAATATTCGCTTTAAAAGCGTGTTTTTCAGTTTTTTTAAACTACATTTATTTTTTAGTTTTTAGTTTTTATGACATCGCTGTCACAGTCACGGAGTGTTTATTGTAAATTATAACTAATAATAGATATAATTTCTGTATTATCAGTGTTTAAAAATTCACAACAATGTGTCTTATGACCATTGATAATAAAGGCTATACACCTACGAATATCGTCATAAAAAACAATGAACTGAAAAAAAAAATTGAATATTTTAATGTATATATCTAATAATAAACAATAAAAATTTGTTTATATATATATAATATTGATAATAGGCACGCATGTACGGGTAAAAAAACCAAAAATAAAATTATACAGGAATAGTGTTTGCCGGCGTTTTGTGAGCGGGGTGGGGTGAATGCATTACGACAGTCTAGTCTCAAGGCCATAGACAACGGGATATGCGAGAATAATTACACGTGGCGCATGGAGAGTTATAAACATACATACAGGTGAAATTAATGTAAGCGTGTTTAAAACATATAAAATCTTGTTAAAAAAATTCAACATTATATTATTTTTAAAACAATTTATATTTATTGTTTTGTTTTGTTTTCTTCTTCTTCTTCTTCCAGCTTTAAAAGCCATTAAAGCCCATTGTTGGCAAAACAAATCTCCTTCTATCTGTCTCTGTTCATAGTCGCTTCAGTAATATTGTCTATCTCAAGTTGATTTAGTCGTTTTTTATTTTTGTCCATCCATCTCTGTTTCGGTCTTCCAATCGGCCTTCTTTCTTGAGGAATCCATCTTAATACAGCATTTGCTATTGACTTAGCCCTTAGTACATGTTCAAGCCAACTTAGTCTCTTGTGGCGTATTTCCGCTATTATGTCTGTTTTTCCAAATAATTCCTGCAGTTCTCTATTAGTCCTAATTTCGTATGTTTGGTAATCGTATCTTTTTGGTCAATAAATCCTCTTAAGAAATTTCCTCTCCATGATAGTTAATCTATTCTCATTTCCTTGGGTCGTGGGCCATGTCTCACATACATACATTATCACTAACCCCAGTAACCCCGAAAGGACGTAAAAACATTGGTTTCCTGATGTCATGCGTTTTTTTATTTCTTCGTAGTTGTCGTTTGTGCTACTTAAGTTAGTGCCTAAATATTTAAAATTATCTACCTCCTCAAACGTATATCCTCCGACCTGTAATCCAGCTGCATTTCGCATCTGATCTTTGTTCCTACCTATTCGCATGTATTTTGTTTTAGTCTTGTTAATGTTGAGTCCCCGTTTTTTTGCACTTCGTATCAGTAATTCCGTTGATTTTTGAATATCCTGCTCACTTTCGCCCAATATTACCACGTCGTCGGCATATGCTAATAATGGAAGGTTTCGGCCGCAGTTAATTCCTTGATATTCTTCTTGTACTTCCCTTACTGCCATCTCTAGCACTATGTTAAATAGTATTGGTGACAGTGCATCACCTTGTTTAATCCTGTTGT